TGGTAGACGTAACACCCTGCTTGACAAGATAGTCGCGAAGAGAACGTCGGGCGTTACTCATGTCTTCTTCAGAGACCCAGCTGTCCTCGGAAGGATCATAGCCCTTCCAGCGTATGAGAAACTCCAGGGCGCCATGCCGACGACGACGATGTGCAAGCACAGATTCGACCTCGTACTCAGGTTCATCATTGACGAGGACTAGAGGCGGCGGAGGAGGTTGGCGTCCCGTGTACAGCTTATTTGGATCCCGATAGGGTTTAAGAAGCTGCACGTGGAAGGCATTATGAATCTTCCAAGTAGCTGGTAGGCGCAAGTGTCAAACATTATACATGTTGTATTTGTGTAGGCTGTAGTGGGTTAGCCTATAGGGGGGTCACAACATTAGGGTTTCATATTTGTACTCACAATCCTTGCTAGTTCATTCATTCCAGTCCGTTATTACTGACATGGTATCAGAGCAGGTCCTTCGCTAGGACCGTTCTTAGGGCCCACCGTTACCTACATACCTACCTACCTACCGTGCGCCTCGTGCGCCTACGCGCCCTCGTGCGCCTCCTACCTACCGCGCGCGCGCAGCCCGCCAGCCGCCCGCGCGCGACTCGACTTTTTTTTAGCGCGCGTATCCCGCTACCCGCCCGCGCGCGGTCGATTTCGCTGCGCGCGCCCCGCTAGCCGCACGCGCGCGGCTGTTTTCTTTACGCGCGGCCCCGCACGCTGCCCGCGCGCTGCCTGTGCGCCTCGCTGACGCGCCCGCTGCTGCAGCCGCCCGTCGCCCGCTCGCGCACACCCCGCCGTGGCCCCGCAGGCCCGCAGCTCGCCGCCGCAGCTGCCGCACGCCCGTTGCCCGCAGCCGCCCGTCCGCCGACGCCGCTGCCGCCCGTGCACCGACGCCGCTGCCACCCGTGCGCTGCTGCCGCTGCTGCTTGCGCACCGCTCGCTGCTGCAGCCGCCCGTGCGCTGTCGGCGCTGCTGCCCGTGCGCATACGCCGCTGTCACCCGTCCGCATAAGCCGCTGCCGCCCGTGCGCCTCTGCAGCCGCCACCAGCGAGTCGCCCGCTACCGCTAGTGCGCCGCAGCTCCTGCCATTCGGTCGCGCACCGCTGCAGCTCCTGCTGTCGCGCTCCCTACTACTGCCGCTCGTGCACCACGCCGGCCCCGTTGACCCTGCGCACACCTTTCCAGCGGCCTTGTTCCTACTGCTACTACTGCTACCGCTACTGTTTCTCCTACTACTGCTACTGTCACTATGGCTAGTCCTCTCGTTCTAGCTTTCGATGCCGAGGGCCGCCCAGTGAAGTTCGAAACCTGGCTAGATGACCTGCACCTGTTCCTACAGCTCACTGCCAAGGAAGATATCTCACTGTACGACCATGCCCTAGGCCATGCCACTGCCCCTGACTCGTCTGCTGACAGCACTCTGCGTTCCCAGTGGCAGACCCGTGATGCGCACGCTCGCTTTGCTATTCGCAACTCCCTGCCGCTAGACGAGCGCGAGCACTTCGGCCAGTGCAAGACTGCTAAGGACCTCTACACCGCTGTAGTTGCCCGCTACTCCTCACCCGCTTCTGCCACGCTAGGCCGCCTCACTCTCCCCTACCTGTTCCCCGACCTAGCCTCCTTTCACACTGTCGCAGACCTCATCACTTACCTTAAGACTAGTGAGGCCCGCTTTCGCGCTGCTATGCCTGCCGAGTTTCTCACTAGCAACCCCCCCCCGCTCTGGATCACTCTCTACCACATCGTCACCCGCCTCCCTGACTCTCTGCGCGCAGTCAGGGACCACTTCCTCTCTCGCTCCCCCACTGAGCTCACTGTTGCCCTCCTCGAGAAGGAACTGCTTGCAGCTGAGGCTAGCATCGTCGCTGTAGGCACCTCTCGTGGCGACCCCCGCACCCCGTTCTTTGAGGGGTGTTCCCCTTCCCCCCTCCTCCCCTCTGTCGCCTCTGCTGCTGCTGTCGACCTTCTTGGTGCTGAGAAGGTCGGGACTGCGTCTGCTTCGAGCGGGCGCCGCAGGAACAAGGGGGGCAGGGGTGGGGGTGGCGGCGGAGGAGGTGGGGGTGGAGGCGGTGGGAGTGGAGGCGCGGCTGGGGAGACTAGTGGCGGCAGTGGGGGAGGAGACAGCAGCGGTGGGAGTGGTGGTGGAGGCGGCAGCGGAGGCGGAGGTGGTCGTGGCGGCGGCAGGGGTGGAGGTGGCCGGGGCGGCGGCGGTGGGGGTGGTGGTCGTGGAGGCACTGGCGGAGGGCAGAGTCAGCAGCCCGCCCCGACGCTTCAGGCCGCCCGTGAGTGGTATGCGCAGCGTAGCGTTACCTGCACGTACGTCATTCGCACAGGTGACCGCAGCGGCCAGCAGTGTGGGAGGCCGCACCCCACGCAGCGCTGCTTCGCGCGCCTTAACGACGCGTGGCGCACTCAGTTTCCTGCTGCCACTGAGCTGCCGCGCTGGGCTGATCTGGAAAAGAGGGGTGTTGATATTTGGGCTTTAGACTTTGATGCTATTCTCACTGCCATGTATGCGATGTCTATTAGTGGAGAGGGTGCTCAGTACTTGCGTGTTCCGCCCGACCCGGGCATTCAGGCCAGTCCGGCTGCCGCTCTAGGTGCTAGTGCGTCTGCTCCCACAGGTCCTGGTGAGGCTGCAGCCCTAGGTGCTAGTGAGTCCGTCCCCCCTGGTACTGAGTCGACTGCAGCACTGCACACCTTCACACTGGACTCAGGTGCTTCTCGCTCCTTCTTTCGTGACTGCACTGTCCTTGAGCCACTCGCTCAGCCAGTTGCTGTCTCCCTTGCTGACCCCTCTGGGGGTCCGGTCATTGCGACCTCCTCCACTGTCCTTCCTTGTCCGGCGGTCCCGTCCGGCACGCTGTCAGGTCTCTACCTCCCCTCGTTCTCTACGAACTTGGTGGCAGGTAGTGCGCTCCAGGACGGGGGTGTTCACCAGTTCACCCCTGCCTACGAGCGCGTGACACACTGCACGTGTGCTCGGACGGGTCGCCACTTGGCTACCTTCACTCGGGAGCCGGGGTCGGACCTTTACACACTGACCACTGAGTCCCCTCAGGTAGCTGCGTCCGCGTCTGCGTCTGCGTCAGGTCAGCTGTCCGCCCCCTGCTCGTGTCGCTCTCTGGCGCATGAGACTGTCCTTTGGCACCACCGCCTTGGTCACCCGTCTGTGCAGCGCCTTCGGGCCATGCACAAACGGGACCTTGTTGCTGGTCTTCCCAGGGTGCTCCCTCCCCTTCCCGACTCGCCTGCTCCTCCCTGTATTCCCTGTGTCGAGGGACGGCAGCGCGCCGCTCCTCACTCCTCCTCCTTTCCCCCGACGACTGCTCCCTTGCAGACGCTCCACATGGACGTGTGGGGCCCAGCCCGCGTCCGTGGTCAGGGTCAGGAGAGGTACTTCCTGATTGTTGTTGACGACTTCTCGCGCTACACCACAGTCTTCCCCTTGCGCGCCAAGGGTGACGTCCCTGATGTCTTGATGTCAGAATATTATGCTCTAGCCTGTAGTGGGGTGCTCTGTAGCGAGTACAACCCTTCTAGGGTTTGCTATTTGTATCCCCATTCTTGCTAGTTCATCCTCTTTTGCCTAATTCTCTCGACATGCTATCAGAGCAGGACGATCCTGTTGGGTCGATCCTGTGGGTGGGCCCACCACCAAATGCTTCCGCTGCTGTTCTACTGGTCGCGCGACGCCTCCTTCCTGCCGCGCGCTCGGGGCGTGCGGCGGGTTTCTCCCCGCCGTGCGCCCCGAGGCGCGCGGCGGTTTCCTCCCGTGGGGGATGCCCGCGTCCCCCCGATCCCGTCGCCCGCGGCCCCCCGATCCCGTCGCCCGCGGCCCCGCGATCCCGTCGCCCGCGGCCCCCCGATCCCGTCGCCCGCGGCCCCGCGATCCCGTCGCCCGCGGCCCCCCGATCCCGTCGCCCGCGGCCCCGCGATCCCGTCGCCCGCGGCCCCCCGATCCCGTCGCCCGCGGCCCCGCGATCCCGTCGCCCGCGGCCCCCCGAGTCTCGATCGCCCGCGGCCCCGCGATCCCGTCGCCCGCGGCCCCCCGATCCCGTCGCCCGCGGCCCCGCGATCCCGTCGCCCGCGGCCCCCTCCCCCCCCCCCCCGATTCCCCATCGCTGCCCCGTGGTGGCGTCCTGGGGGCCGCGCGCCGTCCCCCTCGCCGTCCCCCGTGCTCCTTCCCCCGTTCCGCCCGTTTTTAGGGTTTGGGGGTGAGGAGTGTGGGGGTGGCAGCTATGGGGGTGCCGTGTGTGTGCGCCGTCTCCCACTGCTGCAGCTGCCGCTGAGGGGGGTGGATGTGTGGGAGCCGAGGGTTAGGGTTTAAAGGGGGGTGCCGTGGGAGTGGAGCTAGGGGTTCAGCAGGGGGTGTGTGTCGAGGGGTGTGGGACAGTTGGAGGAGGTTGAGCGGAGGCCGCCGTCGTGTCGTCCGCAGCGCCTGTATTCCGGGGGTCGATTAGCCACCGGTAGCTCAGAGAGCCGGTTGCGCCGTCGCCTGTGGGTCCGTTGCTCCTGCCGCGCATATTAGCCGCGGAGCCTGTTACTCCTGTACTCCGGGGCACTCATTCCCGGTAGCCACGTTGTCGCACCAGAGCCGTCTGTTGCCCGTGTGTCTGCAGCTTCAGTCGTCGCCTCCTATCTACTCTCCTCTCGCCAGCCCTCCTCCTCCTCACTTGCCCCCTGTGACTGCCTCTAGCTTTGCTCATAATTGTGAATCTTAAACTATTGCTTCTTGCTTGTGCTCAGAATGTGTGGTGACATCGTGATCCACCCTGAGCTTGTACTGCTTTGTTTTCTCTTGGATCCGCAGATCTCGTCTCCAGCTCCGTGAGCGTTTCCGCTCCGACTTCCCTGTCCTGCGTCTGCACTCTGACAGAGGTGGGGAGTTTTCCTCTGGCCTATTGGAGGCCTTCTGTCAGCAGGAGGGCATTGAGCAGTCGTACACGCTTCCGGCCTCTCCACAGCAGAATGGGGTTGCTGAGCGCCGCATTGGTCTGGTCATGGAGGTCGCTCGTACCTCCTTGAGCCATGCGGCTGCCCCCCATTTTCTGTGGCCGTTTGCAGTCCGATACGCTGCGCATCAGCTCAACCTCTGGCCCCGTGTCTCCTTGCCCGAGACTTCTCCGACACTGCGTTGGACGGGAGAGGCTGGCGATGCGTCGCGTTTTTGGGTCTGGGGATCCCGAGCTTTTGTCCGCGACACGTCCGCGGACAAGCTCTCCCGTCGCGCTGTCCCCTGCGTCTTCCTTGGCTTTGTCCCGGACGCCCCTGGCTGGCAGTTCTACCACCCCACCTCGCGTCGTGTCCTGGCCTCTCAGGACGTCACTTTTGACGAGTCCATCCCCTACTACCGCCTCTTCCCCTACCGCACTGCCCCGCTCCCCCCCCGCCTCTCTTCCTCGCTCCAGGTGCTGAGGTACCAGACCCCCTCCCCCCTCAGGGTGCCGCTCCCTCAGGTGTGTCCTAGGTAGACCCGGGTGAGCCTGTCGAGGTAGCTGTTGACTCTCGTCCTACTAGGGGTGCTGAGCCTGGGGGTGCTGCGTCTGGGGGTGCTGAGCCCGGGGGTGCTGCGTCTGGGGGTGCTGAGCCTGGGGGTGCTGCGTCTGGGGGTGCTGAGCCTGGGAGTGCTGAGTCTGGGGGTGCGGAGCCTGGGGGTGCTGAGCCAGGAGGTGCGGAGCCTGGAGGTGCGGAGCCTGGAGGTGCTGAGCCTGGGGGTGCTGAGTCTGGGGGTGCTGAGCCTGAGCGTGCTACACCTGGAGGAGCCCTCTCCTCCCAGCAGCTGCAGGAGAGGTACCTCGAGTACTGCCGCCTCCGGAGAGGTGCTGCTGGAGCTCGTCCCGGTACTTCCCCTCCTACCCAGGAGCTCCCCCCCATTCAGCAGATCCGCGAGTGGTACACACGGCGCTGCAGTCTTCGGAGTGGTGCTCCTGGTGCTGCGGACCCTGGGGGTGGCGCTGCTGCTGGTGCTGAGGACCCGGACGTGGGAGCTGCTGCTGGTGCTGCGGACCCGCCTGGTGGAGCTGCTGCTGGTGCTGAGGACACGGATGTTGGAGCTGCTGCTGGAGCTGAGGACCCGGGCGGTGGAGCTGCTGCTGGTGCTGAGGACCCGGACGGTGGAGCTGCTGCTGGTGCTGAGGACTCGGACGGTGGAGCTGCTGCTGGAGCTGAGGACCCGAGCGGTGGCACTGCTGCTGCTGCTGAGGACCCGGGCGTTGGAGCTACTACTGGTGCTGAGGACCCGGCCGGTGGAGCTGCTGCTGGTGCTGTGGACCCGGACGCTGGAGCTCCTACTGGTACTGCGGACCCGGCCGCTGGAGTCTCCTCTGCTTCCGGAGACGCTGTGCGGCCGCGACCGTACTTCGTACCGCTCCTTCAGCAGGTTCTTGGGCAGACTCCTCCTCCTTGTCCTCCTCCCTCCGTAGAGTGTCCTCCGCCTGTCCAGCCGCAGTCACAGTTACCACCTACCTCGCCTCTCCCTGCTCCCTCCATTTACACTGGTCCCACAGGAGGTCTTACAGAGCGTCGTGAGCCTGAGTCTCGTCCTGCGTCGCCTGTTCGTCGTGCTCGCACTGGTAGTCGTGTCCGTCGTGAGCGTCCTCCTCCTGTCCCAGGCACTCACTACATGACTCTGCGTCCCTCTACTGCTCCTCAGCGTGTCCCTCTACCGTCTCCTCCTGCTTCCTCTTTGCCTGACGTTCCGGACCCTGAGTCTGACCGGTATCGTGCTGAGCACCCTACTGTCACGCGTTTCCTTGCTACTGTTGTCACTGACCCTACCTTTGAGTCCTCTGCTGCGTCTGCTCTGGTCACTGAGTTGGTTGACTTTGCTGCTGCCTGTCGTCTAGACTACGCTGCTAGCCTTGTTGCTGAGTCTGAGTCTGAGTCTGTCTGTCCTCCGTCCGTCGGGGGTGAGTGTGCTCTTGGCACGGACGTCCTTGAGGACAGACAGGAGGAGTTCCAGTGTCTTGCTGCTGCTTTGCCCCGTCTCGTGTCCTTGCTAGTTGCCCCTGAGGGAGACCCGGATGCACCAGACATCCCGACCCCGCGCACTTACGCTGAGGCGATGGCGGGTCCCTACTCCTCTCAGTGGCAGACAGCCATGGACGCCGAGATGGCTTCCTGGAAGTCCACACGCACCTACGTCGACGAGGTTCCCCCTCCTGGGGCGAACATCGTCAGTGGCATGTGGATTTTCAGGGTGAAGCGGCCGCCGGGTTCTCCGCCTGTCTTCAAGGCGCGTTACGTGGCTCGAGGCTTCAGTCAGCGAGAGGGAGTTGACTTCTTCCAGACCTTCTCCCCCACCCCGAAGATGACCACTCTTCGGGTGCTGCTGCACATAGCCGCTCAGCGCGACTACGAGCTTCACTCACTTGACTTCAACACTGCTTTCTTGCAGGGCAGCCTGCACGAGGAGATCTGGCTGCGCCGCCCACCTGGCTTCACTGGGTCGTTTCCTCCTGGTACCCAGTGGAGGCTTCAGCGGCCGGTCTACGGTCTCCGCCAGGCTCCGCGTGAGTGGCACGACACACTGAGGACTACACTTGCGGCTCTTGGGTTCGCGCCTTCTACAGCTGACCCGTCGCTGTTCCTGCGCACCGACACTTCGCTGCCGCCGTTCTACATCCTCGTGTACGTCGACGACTTGGTCTTTGCCACTGCTGACACTGCCGGACTCGCCTACGTGAAGTCGGAGCTGCAGAGGAGACACACGTGCACAGACCTGGGTGAGCTGACAAGCTATCTTGGCTTGCGGATCACCCGGGACAGAGCACGGCGCACCATCACCTTGACTCAGTCACACATGGTGCAGCAGGTTCTCCAGCGCTTCCGCTTCACGTACTCCTCGCCTCAGTCCACTCCTCTGCCTACCGGTCACTCGCTCTCAGCTCTGCCTTCGGATGAGTCCGTAGAGCCGAGTGGCCCGTATCCAGAGCTTGTGGGCTGCCTCATGTACCTGATGACCTGCACTCGACCTGACCTTGCATACCCTCTTAGCATCCTTGCACGCTATGTCGCTCCTGGCCGTCACAGGAAGGAGCACATGGATGCCGCTAAGAGGGTGTTGCGCTACTTGTGCAGTACGTCGGGCATGGGGCTTGTGCTTGGAGGGCGAGACCGAGTTGTTCTCACAGGGCACTCAGACGCTTCTTGGGCAGACGACCAGGCCACTCAGCGGTCGTCTCAGGGTTACACCTTCAGCCTTGGCTCTGGCTCAGTTTCTTGGCGCTCTACACGCTCTTCTTCTGTTCTCGGCTCCAGTTGCGAGGCTGAGATCTACGCTACAGCCATGGCTGCCCAGGAGCTACGCTGGCTGACCTACCTGCTGACCGACCTCGGAGAGCGGCCTCGTTCTCCTCCAGTACTGTACGTCGACAACAAGGCTGCCATTGCCTTGTGTGAGGAGCACAGACTGGAGCACAGAACGAAGCACATCGCCCTGCGGTACTTCCTTGCTCGTGAGCTGCAGCAGCGCGGTCAGCTTTGTATTCGCTACGTGGCCACTGAGGCCAACACTGCTGATGTGTTCACCAAGGCACTTCAGCCTCGTGACCATCAGCGCTTCTGCACTCTACTAGGCCTTGTGCCTACTGGACCTCACTTACTTACCTCTTGACTTTGCTTGTACTGTGATCACTATATATATCTATACCTGCATGTTTACTCTTGCTAGGTTGTGATCACTGTATCTCTTGCTCTGTTATAAACCTGCATGTGAACTGGTCTTGTGACCACTAGCTTGTGCTCGGAATTTGTGTGGAATCCTTGAGATCCACCCTGAGCTTGTTGTTGCCTTGCTTTGCCTTGACTGGTCTTGTGACCCCTAGGTCTCCCCCACTTTGCCTATGGGGGTGTGTCAAACATTATACATGTTGTATTTGTGTAGGCTGTAGTGGGTTAGCCTATAGGGGGGTCACAACATTAGGGTTTCATATTTGTACTCACAATCCTTGCTAGTTCATTCATTCCAGTCAGTTATTACTGACAGCAAGCGGAATGTGACTGGAGTGACCTGCTCTTCTACGAGGAAAGGTCCGCAGAAGCGAGGTCGCAACTTGGATGGAAAGTGACTGAGGTTGAGGTTGCATGTGTCAAGAAGCACATGGTCACCAACCGTAATGGTATGCTCACGGCGATGGCGATCGGCTGAGCGTTTCTGTGAAGACTGGATGTCCTTCAAGCGCTTGTGTGTCCGATCCCAAAGCTGCTGCATTGTGGTAACGAAGTCGTGCGCGGGCTGGACGGTTGCAGGTACTGTTGGCTGCTGTGGAGTTAGCGGATGTCGACCGTAACAGAGGAAGAACGGGGTTTCTCCTGTTGCGGCATGCTTCGCATTGTTGTAGGCAAACTCCAACACCGGCAAGTGCAAGTCCCACTTGCTAACGTCGTCCTTGCACGCTGCGCGCAAGAGTTGTTCCACAATTTGGTTCAAGCGCTCTGTCTGCCCATCGGTCTGGGGATGATATGCAGATGACATCGCTAGGCGTGTCCCCATGAGCGACATGAGCTCTTTCCAAAACTTGCTAGTGAACTTGGGGTCCCTGTCGGATATAAGCGTTGTCGGAATCCCGTGCTGTGAGATGATGTGCTTGACGAACAGCTGTGCCGTTTCCTCCGTGCGTGCGGTTGTATGCGTCGGAATGAAGTGTCCCATCTTTGAGAATTTGTCGATGACGACCAGGATGGCGTCATGCCCCGCTTTGGTAGGTGGTAACCCAGTGATGAAGTCCAAGCTGACCACTTGCCAAGGCTGTTCCGGGACAGCCAGAGGCTGAAGAAGTCCTGCTTTCTTCTGCTTACTGCTCTTCATCCGCTGGCATGTGTCGCACGAAGTGACGAACTTCTGCACGTCGTCTGCCATGTGAGGCCAATAGTAGACTTTCGCAATCCCAGCAAGTGTTTTGTTACTACCGAAGTGTCCAGCGTAGAGCACATTGTTAAATTGTAATGTGTTATATGTTGGTAGGCTGTAGTGGGGTAGCCAATATGGGGTACAACCCCAACTAGGGTTTCATATTTGTACCCAAACTTCTGCTAGTTCATTCATTCTTGCCTAGTTATTCTGAAATGGTATTCAGAGCAGGAGGTCCCTAGGACCTACCGACCGTTTTTTTTAAGGGCCCACCACCGCTCGCATGCGGTTACCACGCTACCCCGTGCCCTAGCCTCGTAGCGCCCTCGTGCGCCCTCGTTAGCGCCCTCGCGCGCCCCTCGTTAGCGCCCTCGCGCGCCCCTCGTTAGCGCCCTCGCGCGCCCCTCATTAGCGCCCTCGCGCGCCCCTTGCTAGCGCCCTCGCGCGCCCCTCGCTAGCGCCCTCGCGCGCCCCTCGCAGCGTCGCCCGCCCGCCGAGCCGCCCGCTCGCAGCGTCGCCCGTCCGCCACGCTGCCCGCTCGCCCCTCGCCCGCCGCGCTGCCTGCTCGCAGCGTCGCCCGCTCGCCCCGCTGCCCGCTTCGCAGCCCGCTCGCCCCGCTGCCCGCTTCGCAGCCCGCCCGCCCGCTCGCTGCCCGCTTCGCGGCCCGCCCGCTTCGCTGCCCGCTCGCAGCGCCGCCCGCCCGCCCGCTACCTGCTTCGCAGCGTCGCCCGCCCGCTTGCTGCCCGCTCGCAGCGTCGCCCGCCCGCCCGCTGCCCGCTTCGCAGCGTCGCCCGCTCGCTCGCTGCCCGCTCGCAGCGTCGCCCGCCCGCCCGCTGCCCGCTTGCAGCGTCGCCCGCCCGCCTCGCTGCCCGCTTGCAGCGTCGCCCGCCCGCCCGCTGCCCGCTTGCAGCGTCGCCCGCCCGCCCGCTGCCCGCTTCGCAGCCGCCCGCCGCGCTGCCCGCTCGCCGCGTCGCCCGCCCGCCCCGCTGCCCGCTTCGCAGCCCGCCCGCCGCACTTCCCGCCTGCAGCGCTGCCCGCCTCGCCTGCTGCTCCCTGCCTGTGCACCGCCGCTTGCTCCTGCTGTGGCTGCTAGCTTCGCTCTAGCGCGTCCCCTCTGCTGCTGCCGCTGCTCTGCTGTGCCCTCACGCCTGAGCTATGGCCTCTATTCGCGTTCTTTCCTTCGATGCTGAGGGCCGTCCCGTGCAGTTCACTTCCTGGCTCGACGACCTGCAGTTGTATCTTATGAGCAATAGCACGGACCACATCTCCCTCTATGACTACGCGTCTGGTGCTGCCGCTGCTCCTGCTGCCACAGCCGAGCTTAGTGTACGTTCACAGTGGCAGACTCGTGACGCTGCAGCTCGCCTGGCTATTCGCAGTCACCTGCCGTTACCTGAGCTAGAGCACTTTGGCGACTGCAAAACCGCTAAAGCCCTATACGACGCTGTCGTTGCTCGCTACTCCTCACCTGCCACAGCCGAGCTTAGCCGTCTCATGCTGCCTTACCTGTCCCCCGACCTGTCCACCTTTGCTACAGTCGCCGATCTTATCACCCACCTTCGCACTAGTGATGCTCGCCTGCGTGCCGCCCTTCCCACCGAGTTCTGCGCTAAGAACCCCCCTCCACTGTACTGGACACTCCACTTCATAGTCACCCGTCTCCCTGACACCCTCCGCTCAGTTCGAGACCACTTCCTTGCTCGCTGTCCCACTGAGCTCACAGTCGCCCTCCTAGAGGAGCACCTGCTCGCGGCCGAAAAGAGCATTGTAGCTGTCGGTGCTGCTCGTGGCGCTCCTCGCACCCCCATCTTTGAGGGGTGTTCTCCCTCTCCCCTCGCTCCCTCCTACGCTGCTGCTGCTGCTGTTGACTTCCTTGGTGCTGAGTCTGTTGGCGCTGCTTCTACTCCTGGTGGGAGGCGCCGCACCGGCAAGGGCAAGGGGGGCAAAAGTGGTGGTGGTGGCGCTGGGGGGGGAGGAGGTGGGGGAGGTGGGGGGGGAGGCGGTGCTGGAGGGAGCGGTGGCGGGAGCGCTGGTGGGAGTGGGGTCGGTGGTGGAGACGGGGGCGGCGGAGGAAGCAGTGGCAGTAGTGGCGGCGGCGGCGGTGGCGGCGGTGGCGGTGGTGGCGGTGGTGGCGGTGCCGGTCGGAGCGGTGGTAGTGGTGGCGGCGGAGGTCGGAGTGGAGGCACTGGCTCGGGCCAGAGCTCCCAGC